CTCCATCTCCAGGCAGAGGAGATGGAGGAGCCCTCGGACTCCCTATTCAATGTGCTGTCCCCCTTGGCACCGGGCAGGGTGGCCTTGCTGCTCCATGAAGGGGTGGCAAGAATTTCAAATGCCCTATGGCAAACACCAGCCTCATTGGCTCCCATCTCTAAAAAGGCGGAGTGCAAGTACTTTGTACCCACTAAAGAGCATGAGTATTTGTATACCCACCCGGCGCCCAACTCCTTGGTGGTCGAGTTGGTCAACCACAGGGAACGGCAGGGGCAGCCAGCCCCAACCCCTAAGAACAAAGACTCTCAGAGGCTGGATGCTTTCAGGAGAAAAGTTTGTTCGTTTTCAAGCTTCCAGCTAAGAGTAGCAAACCATCAGGCTCTCCTGGGTCGCTATGAGTTTAATGTCTGGGGATCCCTCCCCAAGTTCAAGGACTCTCTCTGGGAGCGTGATAGAAAAGAGTTTAAGGCGCTCGTGGAGGAAGGGGCAGCGGCCGCAAGGGCTTCCCTGCAAGCCGCTTCGGATGCAGCGGACACGGCCGTATGGTCCATGGCCTCGGCAGTTTCCATGAGACGGGCGTCATGGCTCCTGTTCTCTGGGCTATCCAGCGAAGCGCAGTCGTCAATGCAGGATCTCCCTTTTGCAGAGGAGACGGACACAAGGCTGCATGGCATGAAAGACTCCCGCACGACCCTCCACCTTGGGCCTCTATGTCCGTGCTCCAGCAAAACCCAAGTTCAAGTCGCAGCAGGCTCCCGCCCAGGCCACCCTCCCGAAATACAAGGCCGCCCAGAAGAAGCAGCAGGACTATTAAAAAATGCCCGCAAAGGCAGTATCGGTCTGCCCCCCAGCCTGGGTCCTCTAAGGGCAAGCAGGCGGGTAAAAGGTGCTTTTGACGGGACGCTCAGGGGTACCCCGCCAGTTCTCATCAGGGATCCACCCCCAATAAAGCTCCCTTTTTCCAATTGATTGTGTGCTTTCCTTCCGGAATGGTCGTGGCTCATCTTGGACCGCTGGGTCCTCAACACCATCTTCCGAGGTTACACCCTTCAGTTTACCTCCTACCCACCCAACCACCCCTGCTCCCGTCCCTCTTGGGGGACCCATTGCATGAGGTTCTGCTCGAGCAGGAGGTCGGGAGGCTCCTGGAACTAGGAGTGATAAAGGCAGTGCCCAAGGAGCTCTGGCTGGCCTCGCAGTTCTCCCAGGCCACGGACAGAATGGACAGGGTCTTCACCGTGCCAAACTCGGTGATCACCTCCCTGCGGTGGTGGTCCACACCAAGCAACATGCTCTGAAGGGTCCTGTTCAGGAACAGGGCCCCATCGTTGGAGTTGGTGTCCAATGCATCGGACCTGGGCTGGGGGGCCCATGTGGGGAATTTTCAGACCCAAGGCCTGTGGTCTCCGCGAGACCTGACCCTTCACATAAACGTCAAGGAACTCAGGGCAGTGCAGTTGGCATGTATAGCCTTCCGCTCGCACCTGAAGGGCAAGGTAGTCAGGGTCCTCACGGACAACACGGCCTTGATGTTCAATATCAACAGGCAAGGCAGGGCTCGATCCTCTGCCCTCTACTACGAAACCCTCAGTCTGTGGGACTTCTGTATAGCGCACGACATCCACCTGAAAGCCTTTCACCTACCAGGTTACCAGAACGTGAGGGCAGATCGCTTGAGCAGGGACTTCTCCTCTCAGCATGAGTGGTCTCTACACCCAGAAGTGGCCCACTAGCTCTTCTGAAGGTGGGGAACTCCCCAGGCGGATCTGTTTGCAACCTGGCAGAACCAGCGATGCCCTCGGTTCTGCTCTGGGGGGGGCCTAGGGAAGGGCACTATCTCCGATGCCTATCCTGGTCAGGCCAGCTTCTCTACACCTTTCCCCCATTCCCGCTGATCAGCAAGGTCCTAGAGAAAATAAAGACGGACAAAGCCAGGTCCTCCTCATTTCCTCGGCGTGGCCCAGGCAGCACTGGTACGGGACCCTCTCGGGCTGGCGGTGGCTCGCCGTGGCCATTGCCGCTCCTCCCGGACCTGCTCTCTCAGGACCAGGGCCTCCTCCTCCATCCCAGCCTGGCAGCTCTTCACCTCATAGCGTGGCTACTCAGTGGCTAGGTGACGAGGAGAGGACATGCTCAGAACGGGTTCAGCATGTCCTCTTCGAAAGTAGACGGCTCTCCACTCGCTGCTCCTACATGGCAAAGTGGTCTCGTTTCTCTAGGTGGGCGGTGGACCAAGGTGTGTCCCCAATGGCCACCGTGATCCAACTTATCCTTGATTACCTCCTCCACCTGAGGACCCAGGGCCTGGCGCTCTCGTCAGTGAGGGTACACCTGGCGGCCATATCAGCCTTCCATCCCCCGGTGCAAGGACACAGTGTTCTCCCTATGACAGGCTATGACCGTCCAGTTCTTTAAGGGTTTGGACCGGCTTTACCCATATCCTAAGCCCCTGGTCCCACAATGGGACCTGGATCTAGTGCTGGGGGTCTGCAGACTATGTCTAAGATTTCCAAAGGGTTCTGCACCTCCATTCAAAAAATTGTAGGGGTCTGAATATGGGAAAAAAGGGTGAAGACCACTGCACTAGAAGAAGGGGACACCCAATGAAACTGGCAGGCAACATGTGAAAGGAAATGTTTCAGCACACCATGTAACCAGCCTGTGGAACTCATTGCCACAAGAGCATAGCAGGAGTCAGCAAGGACTGGACATTTATATGGATCAGGAGAGCTGCCACAGACACTGCACCAGAGGTGCAGCAGCTCCAGGGCACAAGCTGACCTCTCATGGGGTTAGAAAGAGTTTCCCCTATGGGCTGGGTATTCCATTATTGTCCACCACAGGCTCCTTGCACCTTTCCCTGTAGCATCTGGGCTTAGCCATTGTTGGCTAAAGGATACAGAACTAAATGGACTGCTGGCCTTGCTTGGTCAGGGATTCCCTATGCTCCTGGGATGCTTCCTTATGCCCCCAGGGGCACCATCCTGGAGCTGGTTGGTCTGTTACTTCCTCTATCCTTGGCCAGGTTTTCTAAAACTAGGAGAGGGCAAGTCATGTGTGCGCACGGTTTGTGCCCTTCAGTTGCAGGTAACTTCCTCCAGTAGAGCAGGATTGCCTTGCAGAACGTCACCGCCCGGCCAGCGGGGCTGTCTCTTTTGACCCGGCCTCTGCCACACAGCATGCATTGCTCTTACACAAATAGAATATCCAGCTTCACTCACATTCAGAGGACGCCCCCTGTGAGCAGCAACGGAGCCTGGCGCCTGCCTGTATCAGAGCTTAGGCAAGGGAGCGGCTGGAACCAGCGAGCAGAATGGCCCGTGACCTGCATGCAGGGGCTACAGGCTTGGCAAGGAGCCAGCACTGCTGGGACTCAGGGCCCTGTGTGAGTTGGGCGGGGGCTCTCGTGAATTGCCCCAACGCTCAGCAAGCCACTGGCTGGCGGGTGTGCATGCTCATAGCACCCAGGCACCGCCACACAGTTTCCATGAAGCTGCCTCCTCCTCTTCAGCGTAAGCACGTAGGCTGGAGTGTGGTGACGGCGTGGTGACACGCAGGCTATTTTAGGTGCTGGGGCAGATAAGATCTCCTGCACTGCAGCCGGGAGCTAAGCAGCCCTGCACGGCATTCACAGCCCAGCGTGCTGACTTGTTTGGAACCAGCCCACTGTTTTTCCATTGACGGGGTTATCGCTGCCCTGAGCACAGGGCAATGCTGCCCATCAGCCAGGAGTACTGTGCCCGTGCCTCCAGCCTGCCCCTTCCTCCCCGCTGACTCCAGCCCCATGCCTGGAGCAGCATGGCGTGTGCATTGCAGTGGAGGCTCTGCACCCAGAGTGCCCTGCTTCAGGCTGGGGCACCTGCTCTCAACTGACAGGCCAAAGCACGAGGGGGCTCTCGGATGGGCAGAAGGACTCAGATGTGGAATCCCGTTAGGGAGCGATCTGTTAGCAGATAATAAATGGGTAATGGCCCCCATGCACCCAAGGCCAGCAGGTCACAGCTGGCACCACAGCTGGTCCAGGGGCCTTCACGCTGCCCTGCCTGGCGCTTTACAGAGTGGCTGACCCCTGTGCCAAGCCAGCATGAAATGTGGGAGCAAGGGGAGGCCACTCAAGGAGCATTTCCACCTGCTTGGGTAGGCAGGCTGGACTGCTGAGGAGCCAAGGGGCTAAATGCCTGGAGGGTTATTTTATACCTGCACCAGGAAACCAAGGGGCTGTTTGAAGCTTGTGGGTGTAAGTGCAAATGCCTGTACATGAGTGGGTGTGTTCAGATGTCTGTACCTGTACTGGAGGGAGGGGTTCAGCCATACATGCCTATACATGGGGGAGGAGTCAGGTGTACATACCTATATGGAGGGAGGGGTTCAGCCATACATGGGGGGCGTTCAGGTGTAGGTACCTGTACTGGGGGGAGGGGTTCAGCCACATATGGGGGGTTCAGGTGTACGTACCTGTACTGGGGGGAGGGGTTCAGCCATACATGGGGGGTTCAGGTGTAGGTACCTGGACTGGGGGGAGGGGTTCAGCCACATATGGGGGGGTTCAGGTGTACGTACCTGTACTGGGGGGAGGGATTCAGCCATACATGGGGGGGTTCAGGTGTATGGGGAGGGGTTCAGCCGTACATGCCTATATATGGGGGGAAGTCAGGTGTACGTACCTGAACAGCGGGAGGGGTTCAGGTGTCTGTACCTGTATGGGGGGGAAGGTTCAGATGTGCATACCTATATATGTGTGGGGGGGGAGGAGATGTGTGGGTGTGGGTGTGTTTAAACCCAGAGTCCAGTCCTGGGGAGGAATTCACCAGCTCGCTGGTGCCAACAGCTCCGGACCAGCCATGTTCTCAAGGCTGGCTCCAGACAAAGGGGTGTCTTGCCCCTGCGCCCTTCCCCAGGGCTGCCAGCCAGCATCCGCAGATATGGGTCTGGCCCCATCCACAGGGACACCTGCCCCAATGGAAACAGGATGCTGCAAGCAGCTGCTCTCTGAGCAGAAACAGAAACCAGCGTTCCAGCCTCCTCTCCAGCACTTGCGCATGTCACAGGAAACGTGAACGGGTCGTGGCTCCGAGGCCCCAGCCAGCTCCCTCCTGTCACACACCTCACACTCAGCAATAAGCTGCGCAGAAGTTTCTAGTACCAGAGGACAGCGGCACCTAGGAGAGAGACACGGGCCTGCTGCCAGGGGAGTTCTGAACAGCATAATCCAGCAGCTGGGAGCGCCTGCAGTGGTGGGCTCTGCCCTGCACAGCGGAACCACCAGCTGGGAGCGCCTGCAGTGGTGGGCTCTGCCCTGCACAGGGGAACCACCAGCTGGGAGCGCCTGCAGTGGTGGGCTCAGAGGAGTCCTAGTGCCTCCCTGCGTGCAGGTGGATTTTGCCCAGCACTGGAGTGACTCCTGCCCTAGGCAGCCTGCTGCAGCAGGAGGGACGACACTGCAGACTCTGCACTGCATCTGCCAAGCTCTGAGGAGCCCCATAGCATCTTCGTTGAGATGAGAGTCAAGTAAGTGGGACAAGTTTTTCCTTTGGGGGAAGCAGGGGCTGGTGAGCTCTGGCCCAGGGTCCTGTTCTGAACGGATGGGCTGCACGTAATGAAGACGGTGCTTTGAATACCCTGCCTCCCGCCTGCTGTCAGATACCCTAATGAGGAAGGAAGGAAAGCGTGCAGCTGCAGGCTGGTCAGCCCTCGCTCCAGTCCCCTTCCTCAGGACAGCAGGACCAGCACATGCCCTGTTCAGTTGCTGTAGCTCTGTCGGAGCCCGTTTGCCGTGGACCCAGAGCTGAGTCAGAGGAAATGGGGAGAGCCATGACTGTACGATGGGACGCTATGATAACATGCTCATCCCATTCAGCCAGGCGCTCAAAGCCCTTTACAAACAGTGATGAACTAAGGCTCACAGCCCTCCCTGTGAGATTGGGGTCATTTCACCCACCACTGAAATGCAGCCACCTCTGGGGTGTAGTGCAGCAGCTGTTTAAAAACTTGCAGCACCACCACACCCCAGTTTGGCACTGGAGGTGGGGGGGTGGGGGGGACAGCGGGGGAAACCGATGTCCCAAGGGTCTGTGTGTATGTCCTGTCGCTTAAGTACCAGAACAATGTGGCCTGCCATGGCCAGCTGACGCTGCTGGGAGTGGGGGGCAGTTAGCTACACAGGGCCTAGATCCCCACAGTGGCAGTTGGCCACCAGCCCTCTCTTGTAAGAATTACTCTTCAATGACCAGAGACAGGCAGGACCCTGGGGTGCTCTTAGGCACAAGATCTCCATGGCACCCGTGATCACTGCCCTGAGCCATTCCCTTGGGTCTCATTAGGAGGGGCGAATGCAGTGCTGTGTTGTGCAGCCCCTGGCCATTCTGTACCGCTCTCCCCACCAGCCGGCTGCCCTGACCTCGCAGCCTGCCTGCCTCAGTGGGGCTATGGTGTTCCTGACTCAGTTAATGGGGGAGGCCCTGTCCAGGTACGTCAAACTCTTCTCTGGCATGACTCTGGGGCGATGCCCAACTGCCATAAGCCCCCAGTTCCCCTTCGTGTTGTAGCAGGAACCTCTGGGCTCGCCCCATTCAACGGCCCCAGTGCAACAACTGGGCTGCAGGTTAAACCCAGAGCAACGACACAGAAAACCACCCAAACAAGGCTCCACCGGCCCTGTTGGCCCCAGTGCCTGTGCCCAGAGGGGCACAACACATAACAGCCAAATGGGGCCATTTTATAAACACCGCCGAGGCTACCGCGCCAATGAGTGGGGGGTTGTATGGGCGGGTGTGAATGCGCAGGCCTGTACCTGCGTGTGTGTGAACTGCCAGCCCCAGCAGCGCAGGCAGGCCACCGTCTCTCACGCCATGTAGACCTGGCTGTGCAGAGCTCAGGGCACGGCCCACCCTAGCAGGATCTGCCTGGGCAGCTGCTTGGGCCATCTTACGTTGGAACCAGTCGGCCATTTGAAAGCCTCGCTGAGGGGCGGCAGAGTGCCCTGGGCAGCCCTTGGTGTGTGTGTGTGTGGTGGGGGGGGGCAGGGGATCCCACAAGACCGGGGTGGACAGGGAGCAGCGCAGGCAGCAGCCCACAAGTTCAAGCACTTAGCCGTCCCTTGGTTTTTCAGCTTTCTCTCCCTGCTGCAGAAGGTCAGAGCTGTTTGCTGAGGCCCCGCTGGTGCCCAGGAGTGATGGGAAGTTTGCCCAGCAGGAGCAAGCAGCTTGTCATTCAGCCCAGCCCAGCTGCTGCCATGCAGGCCACTGCCCCCGTGCAGACAGGTAGGAATCATGGCCCCCTTGCAGCCCTGAGCACCGGTGAGACGTGGGCTCGGAATTCCAAGCCTGTGCACAACAGCCGCATCCTGCATCCGTCCCATGGGGCACTGCAGCGCCCCCTGCTGCCCCATGCCTTCTCTGTCATCATGCTAGGCCTGCTGGCTCAGCGCAGAGCCCTAGGAATCAGCCTCTTCCGTTGCTGGCAGGACACACGCGGCTCAGGTTCCAGCCTGCGGAGCATCACTGTTCAAAGCCGCCTGAGACCCTGCCATGTCCTCCAGCGGCGAGGCGGGCAGGGGCCTGGCTGCCCAATGGCCAGACCCAGCTTCTCTAGCATGGAGGAGCAGGACAGGGCACCGAGTAGTTGCTTTTAGCGTGAGGAAGGGCTGGCAAATGCCAAAGCTGCAGGCCCCTGGGGCACCAGTAACCTGCTTGTTTCCCCTGGCTGGTTTGCTCAAGGCTCCTCTCTCTCCCTGCGCTGCTGCCCAGCTGATGTGCACTTCGGGGTGTCCTTTGCTGGGAGCCTGCCAGCATCCATCCGCCCGCTCTGGCCCGGCACTGAGTCACCCAGCACAGGCTCAGTCGGGGAAGAGTGAGGCTGGCAGGAAAGGCCGGCACCTCTCCCTGCACAGAACGAGGGTTTCAGTTGACACAGCTCCTGCCTGTTTGCACTGGGGCCCTGCGGCCTGCAATGACCTGGGACCGCGGTCTGAGCCAGGGAGTGCCCCAGGAGAGCTGGACTGGCAGGAGCATGCAGAGCCTGGCAGCGAGGCAGCCCCAGCTATGCAGGGGATGGCAGCAGGTGGCTGCATCCCAGCCCCACAGGCAGAGCGGGAGGAGAAAACAGGCCGGTTCTTGGCTTTCCTAGTGGGGTCTGAGAGCGGCTGGGGCGCCTGGCCTCAGCTGAGCCAACCTGCTCCAGCAATCCAGGCTGTGCTCCAAACAGGCAAGTCTATTCCCCCTCTATTCAGCACTGGTGAGGCCACATCTGGAGTATTGCCTCCATAGGCACCGACTTCTAATGGCACCGGTGGGTGCTCGACCCCCCCGGCCCCTGGCCCCGTCCCAACTCTGCCCCGTCCCCCCTCCCGCCCCCATTCCAACCCCTTCTCCAAAGTCCCCGCCCCAACTCTGCCCCCTCCCTGCCCCTATTCGACTCCTTCCCCAAATTCCCGCCCTGGCCCCGCCTCCTCCCCTGAGCACGCCACGTTCCCGCTCCTCCCACCTCCCTCCCAGAGCTTGCTACAGCTGTTTGATGGCGGCAAGCATTGGGAGGTAGGTGGAGGAGCTGGGACGTGGCACGCTCAAGGGAGGAGGAGGAGGTGAGGTGGGGTGGGGGGGGCGCTTGGCTGCCGGTGGGTGCAGAGCACCCACAAATTTTTCCTCGTGGGTGCTCCAGGGCTGGAGCACCCACAGAGTCAGCGTCTATGATTGCATCCAGTTTTGGAGCCCCCCACTACAGAAAGGACATGGACAAATTGGAGAGAGTCCAGTGGAGGGCAACAAAAATAATTAGGGGGCTCGGGCACATGACTTATGAGGAGAGCAGGAGCGGCGCCAGGGTTTTTGGCGCCCTAGGCAGGGGTCCTTCTGCGCTCCCGGTCGTCGTCGGCAATTCTGCGGTGGGGGGGTCCTTCCACGCTCCTGGTCTTCGGGGCACTTCGGCGGCGGGTCCCGGAGCGAGTGAAGGACCTGCTGCAGAATTGCTGCCATAGACCCAGAGCGCGGAAGGACCCCCCGCCGCCGAATTGCTACCCCTCCAAATCCTGGTGCCCTAGGCAACTGCCTAGGTCGCCTAAATGGAAGTGCCGGTCCTGGAGGAGAGGCTGACGGAACTGGGCTTATTTAGTCTGCAGAAGAGAAGAGTGAGGTGGGATTTGATAGCAGCCTTCAACCACCTGAAGGGGGGTTCCAAAGAGGATGGAGCTCAGCTGTTCTCAGTAGTGGCAGATGACAGAACAAGGAGCAATGGTCTCAAGTTGCAGTGTGGGAGGTCTATTAGGAAACACTGTTTCACTAGGAGGGTGGTGAAGCACTGGAATGGGTTACCTAGGGAGGTGGTGGAATCTCCATCCTTAGATAGGGTTACCATATTTCAGCAAGCAAAAAAGAGGACGGGAGGAGCCCCGCCCTAGCCCCGCCCCTGCCCCTCCCACTTCCCGCCCCCCCAGAACCCCCAACCCTCCCCCCGTTCCTTGTCCCCCGACTGCCCCCTCCTGGAACCCCTGCCCC